CATTCTTCTTTTCCTCTGAAGTTTCAGGTAGTGGATGGGTTTGATCAGTGGCATATAGCTCAGCCTTTGGCAAATCCTCACCCTGAGGACTCCTGGCGTCTCCAGCCAGGGCTCTTGGGAGCCAGTGTTTGTTTCTTGAGTTGCCTTAACCTCCCACAGCTGCTATCCCTCCCCTGCTTTCCTTCCACTCCTTCCCAGGGTATCACCCATGGAAGCAGCATGGGCTTTCCTGCGACGTGGGGTTGTGAGTCGAAGTTACTGCTGGGGGGGTGTGCTCTCGCTCCAGCCAGCTTCCGCCCCCTCCTCCTGCCATCCTTATGACAAACAGAGAAACTATCCCTCCAAACTACAGTGTAGGGAATAAAAATATTTATCGGGCTTACTAACAGAGCATATGATGGTGGTGAGGGGTTATTTACAAAGGCATGGACACCCTGGGGCTGTTTTTTTTTCCTACACTTTTTTTGGTCTTTTTTGAGACAGTGTCTCTCTCTAGCTCCAGCTGACCTGGAACTCACTATGTGAACCAGGTTGGCCTTGAACTCACAGAGATCTACCTGCCTCTGCCTCCTGAGTGCTGGGATTAAAGGTATGTGCCACCACACCCAGGTAAATGTGTGGTTTTTGTTTTGTTTTTTTTTTTGTCTTTTTGAGACAAGATCTCTCTGTAGCCCCAGCTGACCTGGAACTCACTATGTGAACGAGGCTGGCCTTGAACTCACAGAGATCCACCTGCCTCCGACTCCCGACTGCTGGGATTAAAGGCGTGCACCACCATGCCTGGCTTTTTTCTACATTTTGACAATAGCTTTCAGATCTGCTGCTGCAGGTCCAAGATCTCTCCCTTCCTATGGAGAGTCCAGTCCAATTAGTTTGAAGCAAACAGGTGAGAAGCTAGAGAAGAAGGCATCTATCTATCCATTTGCTTGCCAGTCTAGCTTGCTACTCACTCAGAGGACAAGTTTATCCAACAGGGGTCATAGGGAAAAGAGCTGACATTCTGAAGGAGACACAGCTGGTGATCTGTTCAACTATACCTGGGCCACCACTGCCCTGAGCATTTTGCCATGTTAAAGGAATTTCTTACTCCCTCCACACCTTTCTAATCTATGTCTTTTCTCCCAGGTTCCTAGGCTTCTACTTCTTATCCATCCACTCAATCATCCATCCACCCAGTCATCCATCCATCCATCCATCCATCCATCCATCCATCCATCCGTCCACTTAAACATCCATTCACCCATCTATCCTCCCACCTACCAACCCATTCACCCACTCACCCATCAATCCATCCATTTATCATCCATCCATTCATCTACCCATCTACAAACCCACCTATACATTTATGCATACATACTTACTGGATATCTACGATGTACCAGGCACAGGACTTTGGTGCTGGTGATACAGAGGACAGTTAGGACAAGTCCTGTCCTCATGGGCTTCAAGGATGGTGGGAAGATGGACTTGCAATGACACAGTGTTGCTTCTGGTAAGTTCTATGTAGGCAAAGGATGGAAAATCAGAATAAGAGAGCAAGTCTCATCTCGGGCTGTGTTTAAGCCAAGGCCTACAGGATGCATAGGGCCAGCATGGGAAGACATTTAATGGAAGGGTCTCCATGGGTAAGATGGAAAACAGGGTACGCTTGCAATAGAAAGGGATCCAGGAACCTGTGCTGAGTTCCAGGGAATACCAGGAAGCAGGCTGAATGGAATCAGAGAGCAGGTGAGCTCAGGCAGCACAGGACTGTGGCCACAGAAAGAGTCTAGGTGAAATTCCCAGCCCATCAGGGTTCAGGAGGACCTTAAGCAGGACAGCAGTTATGATTCAGGAAAGATTTTCTGCTCCAGAGGGAGAACAGTTTGAAGGGCTGAAGGGACAGGAGTGAAAGGGGTCCCCCTTCACAGACAACGGCTGAGACCGGTGGGGTCTGGATGATGAGTTGACATTCCTTCTGGAGATGAGCCGTCAGTGCTTGAGTGATGTTTGGGGTAGGTCAGCCTCTGTGGTAGTCCCAACAGGGCTCCTCGCTGGTCTTCTGCTGGATCAGCATCAAGGCACTGAGTCTAACAGTTATTCATGGTGGACAAGGAAGGCTCCTGGACCCCTCAGGGCATATTAAGGACCCAGTCAAGCGTCAAGTGGTGGAAGGGCTTAAGCAGGATGGCCTTTGATAACCATAGTCTCTTCCTTATAACTGAAGCAGTGATATGCAAAGAGCTTAAACATTTAATGATCTCATGTGTTTGGCAAGGGATGAGAAACCAGTATCTTAAGTACTGTTGGTGGGGAAATCAATAGGCAAGTCTTACTTTTGCAGAGTAATTGGGGTTATCTATTTAAATTCAAAATGTCTGTGACTAGGGACTTGACTTCTTAGAATCTCCCTAGAGAAATGAGTGTAGACCATATACAAATGAGTATAAACACTATGCAAATGAGTGCAGACTGTATGGACATGAGTGTCAGATTTTCACAGACTCAAAGGATTAGTCAGGAACTCTAGTATCCTAAGCAGCCAGCAGATGAGGATGGGTCAGTCAACAGTGGTTCCGGTGACTGAAAGGAGCTCATCGTGTCAATGTGCAAAGATCTCCTAGGGTCTGTGGGTAAAAGAAAAAGTGGGGGACTCATCAGTGCAGTGCTTACAGTGCAATACAAATGATGAGAAAAATAGGGGCATCCAAAGACAGCCACACGCTTCTTTTACTTCTTGCAGATTTTCTTTTTATTTTATGTATATGAGTGTTTTACCTGTATGTATGTAAGTGCACCACATGGTACAATGCCCAAGGAGGTCACGTGAGGGCGTTGGATCCCCTGGAAATGGAGTTATGGGCGGTTGTTAACTGCCATGTGGATTCTGGGAACTGAACCCGGGTCTTCTGCAAGAGCAGCCAGTGCTCTTAACTGCTGAGCCGTCTCTCCAGCTCTGAAGGCTGCACACTGGTAAATGCACACATACATGCTATGGACAAAGAACAGTAAAAGAACTCCAGAGAAAAGCATATAAACTCCTAACAGTGGTCACCTGTGGGAAGGGATAGGCATGGGCGTGTGGCAGCCTTATGAGTTCTGTTTGAATGTTTCATCACAAGACTCTCTTTCTGCATTACTTTTGTAATTAAAAAGTTAAAGAGCTGGGTATGTGGCTCAGAGGTAGAGCGTTTGCCTGGCGTGTGTGAGGCCCTGGGCTCTATCTCTAGCACCACATACACATAAAGTTAAAACTGAAACTAATATATAATAATAATTGTATATAATTAGTGTATGCTATGTGCGTTAGTATATAAATTCGTTGTAATTGTGGCTCCTTTGAAAAGACAGCTATGTAAAATTAGGGTGGGGGAAAAAATGCCCATGTAGTACATACCTGTAATCCCAGTACCTGCCTCAGTAGAGGCAGGAGAACCAGGAATTCAAGGTCATTCTTGGCTACAGAATGAGAGTGAGTTTGAGGCTAGCCTGAGCTACACAAAACCCTTTCTCGAACGAAACAAAACACATCCACAATACTATGCCCCAAATTTAACCACCATGAATATTTTACTGTGTATATTTCTAAATTTTTATGTTCCAGCTGTAAAAATTTGGCTGTAGTAAATATACTATTTTCTTTCTTTCGTTTTTTTTTTTTTTTTTTTGGTTTTTTTTAAGCAGGGTTTTCCTTTAAGCCCTAGCTGTCCTGGAACTCACTATGTAGACCAGGCTGGCCTTGAACTCACAGAGACCCGCCTGCCTCTGCCTCCCGAGTGCTGGGACTACAGGCATGTGCCACCATGCCTGGCATAAATATTATTTTTAATCTATAATCTTCAAATGCTTAATTCCTTTCTTTTTTTTAAAAAAAAGGTTTTTCTTTTTTTTAATTATTTTTATTTTATGTGTATCTCTGTATTGCCTGCATGTAGATAGGTGCACCTATGCCATGCAATGTCTGGGGAGGTCAGAAGAGGGCATCAGATCCCCTGGAACTGGAGTTAAGAATGGTTCATAGTCGCCATGTGGGTGCTGGGAATTGTTTTATTTTATGTGTATGAGTGTATTGCCTGCATGCATGTGAGTGTACCTGTGTCATGCAATGCCACGGAGGTCAGAAGAGGGCTTCAGATTCCCCTGGAACTGGAGTTAAGGACAGTTTGTAGCTGCCATGTGGGTGCTGGGAATTGAACCCAGGTCCTCTGCAAGAGCAGTCAGTGCTCTTAACTGCCAAGCCATCTCTCTAGCCCCTAAATATACTATTTTTATTACACTTTCTTGTGGATATCTTTGCACATCATTAAGTGTTCTCTTTTTTGTTTTGTTTTGTCTTTGTTTTTGGAGACAGGGTCTCACTATGTAGCCCTGGTTAGCCTGGAACTCCTACATAGACCAGGCTGGCCTTAAAGTCATAGAGATCTGCCTGTTTCTACCTCCTGAGTGTTGGGACTAAAGGCATGCACCACTATGCCTGGCAAGTATCCATTTTTTTTTTTTTTTTTTTTTTTTTTTTTGAGACAGGGTCTTCCTGTAGCCCCAGCTGTTCTGGGACTCACTATGTAGACCAGGCTGGCCTTGAACTCATAGAGATCCACCTGCCTCTGCCTCCTAAGTGCTGGAGTCAAAGGCATACACCACCACACCCAGCGTTAGTATCCTCTTTTTAAACGCATTTTATTTATTTTAATTTTATATGTATGAGTGTTTTGACTGCATATAAGTGTACCACATGAGTGCTTGGTGCCCTCCAAGACCAGAAAAAGGCATTAGATTGCTTGGAATTGGAGTTACAGAAAGTTGTTAGCCACCATGTGGATGCTGGGAACCGAACCCAGGTCCTCGGCAAGAGCAGAGTCATCTCTCCAGCCCCCAGTCATTAAGTATTCTCTTAATGGTTGTGTTGTGTTATACTGCTTGGACTCAGCATTATGCATTGAAATCCCCTGAGGTTGACCCATAGGGTGTTTCAAATTTTTCCTTATTATACAACCTTGTAAGTGTATCTTTACACAATTGCCTCCTTGCTTATAAGAACATTTTATTAGGAATCTGTACAGGGCTAAAACAATTGAAAGCTTTTGATGTTCATTGCCTAGCTGCCTTGCGCAAATTGGAAGGTCCGTGCAGACCAAACAGGGCAGGATGTTCCCGCATTACCCGCTTTGCCTCAGGCTTTTCCAGAAGACCTTCCATCCACTGGGAGGAACTGTTTTTCCCAAGAGCACTGTTGGCATCTCCCTCATGGGAGGACCTGAGGGGAAGAAGAGAGGAAAGCCTGTCCTCAGCGGGGTATGTCATCCCAGCCCTCCAAAGACTTGGGCAGGAGTTCAAAGCCACCTGGGCTGCATTGTGAGCTCCAGACTAGACTGGGCAACTTTATGAGGCTGCCTCAAAATAAAAGTTAAAAAGAGGGCTGGGGATGCGGCTCACCTGTAGATCACTTCCCTAGCATGTGGGAGACTGTATGTCCAGTTCTCATAGTGGAGAGTATTCCAAGGCAGAGCTGCCCATGTGGCCCCACATCCCTAGCCCTCCAAGCGACTTTTTGAAGTCCCTTCCAGAACTGGGTTTGAGGTTCCAGGGACAAGACAAAAACCATGGGGCCAGCATCTGGGAGAGCTTTGACTTTGGTTGTAGATGTGAGGACCCCAGAGGTGATTCTCCAGATTTTTCTCTTGGTGAAGAGGTCAGGAGATGAAGTTCTCTGGAGGACCCTAGAGACCCAGTTGCAGCGCTTTCAGTACAGCTTCTGGGTGGCTTGTCTGTCTCTCAAACCAAGATGCTGGGCATTTTTGAGGGACAAAGATAAAGTCAGATGACAGAAGGTCTCTACGATGAGCAAAACACAGTGAGTGCCCAGCACGCTGTCTAGAATCATCTGGTGCTACAGTAGCCCTATTCAGGAGCTCAGGAGGCAGTCCACCTCGTATGCGGTCTTTCCATCTTGCTTCCTTTCCCTTCCCTCCCCCTCCTCGCCCCTCTTCCTTTCCTTTTGAAACAGAAACGGTCTCATGTAGCCCAGTCTGGTCTCAAACTTTTTAACTGATGATGACCTTGAATTTCTGACTCTCCTGACTCTACCTCCCAAGTGCTAGAATTACAGGCATGTACCATTGCACTGAGTTTATGTGATGCTGGGGATCCAACCCCAAGCTTCATATATGCGTACATTTTACCAACTGAGTCACAGCCCCTTCCCCTGCTAGGTTTATCTGCCAACACTAAGTGAGCTAACAAATAATGTCTGTCATCCCCACATTCAATCACTTAAAACAGAGGCTGGAGAGATGGCTCAGCAGTTAAGAGCACTGGCTGCTCTTGCAGAAGACCCAGGTTTGATTCCCAGTACCCACATGGAGGCTAACTGTAACTCCAATTCCAGAGAATCTGACCCCCCCCCGCCCCGACCTCCTCAGCATTGCATGACACGGGTGCACTTACACACATGGAGGCAATACATTCATACACATAAAATAAAAATAATAAAATATTTTTTTAAATCAGCAAAGGTCTTTCTAGTATTTTCTTTTCCACACACCCACTACCGTCACACCCTCCCCACCACCAAACCCTCATCACCCCAATAACAGCAAGTGCAGTCATGGGGTGGGCATTATTTTAAGCACTCTAGAGTCATTGCCCATAAGACCCCAGAGAGGTAACAGATCTTAGTAGGTATCTCCTTCCCCAGTCTGTCCCTTTTGAGACTGAAGTTATCATGGTTGTGTGTATGTGTGTGTGTGTGTGTGTGTGTGTACAGTATGAAATTCCTTTCTAAAATTAAGAACATGTCATCTGTGTAAGACACATACATGAGACATGATGACTAGCATTAACCAACCTGTGTACCCACCATGTAACTTAGGAGAACTGACAAACATATTTCCCAAGCTGCCTGTCTCTCCTCAGACTCCTATAGCTCCTTCCGTCCAGTGGCAATCACTACCTTGAATTTCATTTATTATTCTTTTGCCACTTAAAAATGTTTCCTTTTTTGAGCAAGATGGCTCAGTGGGGAAAAGCACAGGCTGCCAAGCTGATGGCCTAATATCACATGCTTTTGAATTTCACAGCAATACAGTTGTGCACAATGCAGCTTCTGCAGTGAGCCTGTCTTTGCTCCATGTTGTGTTTGGGAGCATCACCTGTACTACTGAATGTAGCTGCTGTTCCTTCAGTTCGCTGCCACAGTGGTGTATGGTATTAATAAGTCACAGATTACTTATTCGTTCTCCCCTGGGTGGGCGGAGGATTGCTGCCATTCACATCCATTACATCTCTTGGGCTGGGGCTATAGCTCTATGGATGGTGGAGCACTTGCCTAGTGTGCTTGAGGCCCTGGGTTCAATCCCTAACAAGAAAGCATGTGGGGACCATGATCTGAGATGTAACCGTTTCTGGGTGAGGCACACAGGAACAGAAATGTTGACAGTAGGGTACATGTGACTGAACTTGAGTAGACAATGCCAGGTTGCCTTTCAAAATGGTTCTATAGATTTAACTCCCTGCCCTCCAGAAGTGCACAGGAGCTCAGATTGCTCCGTGCCTCTAATGCTTGGTGTTCTCAGACTAACATGCTGCCCATCTGGGGACTTCTAAGATGGTGTACAATGGAGGCCCACACTTGCATTTTCCTGATTCTAATGAGGTTTGAGGTTTGGTGGTTGTGCTGGTTTGACAACTTAACACAAATTAGAGTCACCTGGGAAGAAGAAACCTCAACTGAGGAATTTCCTCCATCAGATCGGCATGTGTGGTATTTTCTTAATTGCCGGTTAACATAGGTGGGCCCAATGCACTGTGGGTGGTGCAATCCCTGGGCTGGTGAGCCTGGTATGTATAAGTAGCTGCACAAGCCAGGGGGAGCACGTCAGTAAGCAGCATTCCTGTGGTCTCTGCTTCCGTTCCTGCCTCAATGATGGACTGTGGTGTATAAGCCAAATAAACCCTTTCCTTCCCAAATTGATTTTGATTCATAGAGAAGCACACCAGAACAACCATCTTTGAACATTCACTGATTGGCTGGTCTTGACCTTCCACTTGACATTAAAATCATCATGGAAACAAACCTCAGGGCATGTCTGTGAGGGAGTTTCTAGATTGGGTTAGGTGAGGAGGGAAGACCCACCCTTCATTTTGACAGCACCCTTCTATGGGGCTGTGGTCCCAGGCTGAGTAAAGACGAGGAAGCAAGCTGAGTAGCAGTGTTCATCTCTCTGCGTCCTGAATGCAGACACAGCTTGACCAAGCTGCCTCCAGCTCCTGATGGGGGATGGGTTGGACCCTCCACCTGTGGCCAAAATAAACTCCTCCTTGGGTAGATTGCATTTGCCTGGTAGTTTGTCACAGCAGAAGAAATGAATCCATACTTGTTTCCTTGTCTGGTCAATGCTTTGGTTGATTTAGTCCTTTTTTCTTGATTCTTCAGGAGCTGCTTATATATTTTGATCTTAAATTAGTTGCATCTCATGTCAATTTCTAGTCTGGCTCATCTTGTCTGCTAGATGATGTTTTTTTTTGTGAACAGGGTTCTTATTTATTTATTTATTTATTTATTATGTTTAACTTCTTTCTTCTTGGTCTTTTTCTTTGAGACAGAGTCTCCCTGTAGCCACAGCTCGTCTGGACTTGTTATAGAGACCAGGCTGGCTTCCATAACAGAGATCCTCCTGCCTCTGCCTCCTGAGTGCCAGGATTAAAGGCATGCACCCCCACGCCCGGCCCTGAATTTATTTATTTCTTGAAATAGGGTCACACTATGTAGCTCTGGCTGACCTGGAACTCTTGATGTAGACCAGCTTGGAATTCACAGAGATCTGCCTGCCTCTGCCTCCCCAGTGCTGGGATTAGAGATGGGTACCACCACTGGATTTTTTAGAAAGTTT